CCCCCCCCATATGGTAAATATCGTATTTATTTTATTATCACGTGTGCGCCAGCTGACTGTGGGCAGGAGCACAACCGTAAAGCCGGAAACCAGATGTTGCGATCTTTGACCTCTATCGCAAAGTATGACTCATATATTGTTGTGTCACATGATCAGAAAGTAAACAATTTCCCCATAATTGTGCTGCTGCTATTTTGATTATTTTCATTAGAAAGATCTCGAAGAGCAACGCGAACGACATTTGAAGTAGAAACCATTTTACAGAAGAGTCACTGGTTCATTAAAGTTGCGTCGCGTTGGAGATTACACTCGCCGGATTTAAATTTCGCGCGCAGCATTTTTTGTTTATTAATGCATTTCATGAATAAATTAAATGCCCACCGGCTTCACGGTTGTGCTCACCACGACAGTCCTGGCGCGTTTCAACCCTTGGGATATTTTACTATAATAGGGTGTGTCTGCATCGCGCGTTAAAATTTGCATATAACATTAGCGCGTAACAAAGTTGCGATAAAGGAAAGAGTGGTATAAACAAGGGGGGTAAAAGGCCTGGAGGGGGGGGTAAAAGAAAAGTTATATAACATTTTATTATTTAATAATTTATTTATTAATTATAAGTTTGTCCAACTCCCCGTGGTGTACCGTCTAAAGATCGTTATCTTACTTGACCTCCTCGGATCAACTCATTTTTAAGAGGGGGTGCCGATCGACTCAATGTAGCCAGTGTACGTAAGATCAAGTTAGCACACGGCTATTTCTCTCAGTGTGCTTGTTTTATCGTTTTATTTATTATTACAGCGAGTCTCAGAAGCATTGGGGCAGCCAATTTGCAAACTCGCTAACGAATCTCGCTGGCGCCGACTCGTGGCCGAAATGCTGTGACATTTTCTAATTGGTGATGGGAATTGCCAAGCCAGTTTATAAAATAGTGAACACAACTTTTCGTAAATATTATCATCGCGAAGTGTCTTAAATATAAATATTATACTATAGAACGGTATATCTTTCTCGGAGGATGTAGTGGTCCTGAAAAGGGTCACTTTGTTTAGGTTTTCCTAGTATATATCGGACTATATTTAAAATCCGCAATGTCGAAAGAAAACTTTAGAAAGTTCTGGCGTGATCATGCCCAGAATCCAGAATAGCGACTTCAGTGAACCGATTAGCAAATACATCATTTATTTGCAATTCTCGTCTTAGTTGCCGAAAACTAAGCTCGCAGGTATTAAATTGTGGGCTATATGGAGGCTGAAACAAGAGAGTAACTTGTCTGGCATTGAGCATCTCGCAGAGAACGGGTTCGGTGAAATTACCGTGATGAAAACCACAATTGTCCATCATAACAGTGTCACCTTCTCCAATAAACGGCTGACCATCTACTACTTCTTCATTCAGTGCCTCAAAAAATGTTAACAGCTCCATTTCATTTGAAAGACCGCGGAGAATATTGAAATGGGTCATATCAAGCGGGCTATGTAATAAATTCACGGTCAAATTTATGTTGGATGTGACGTGTATCTTAGCATTTCCACTGCCGGCCGGCTGACCGACTGGAACTTGTCCATAGACCACAGTCACTCGTTACCCAT